GGATAATACCCATGTCCAACTACTTCTCCCCACCCATACATGGGAGACAGTCTGTAGGCAGCACAGAATGGCAGCAGTGGATCTCACACCTACATGGTCTTCCCTTCTGACTGCCAGCTCTGCCCTTGCTCCCACTCACCAAGTCAGGCCACAGAAACACCCAGATGCCCCAACCACTTTGGATAATGTTTCTTACCACTTCTGTGAATTTACTTCATTTCTCTAGACCTTTTGTTTCCCACTATGTAAAATGAAAGGAGTAAACTAAAATACTTTATTCACATATTAAGTAGAGGCATGGTGCTGCCAGTATGAACTCCTATAGGATAGGGTGGTAAAAAGACAAGTGCAAAGAACACCAGGCTCAGATGATCCCCACCATCTACACACACCACACTCCTGGAGAGACACAGGTATAAATACAAATAAAGCCACACAAAACCCCCTGCCCCCTGCACATAAAAAGATACCCACCACGTAAACATAGAACACAACAGCTGTGCCGGCAGGAAACTGTAGTTCCAGAGAAAGTGGGCAGAATTCAGGGTTTGGCAGTGAGCAGGGGAAGCAAAGACTACCCAGGGAAAGATCCCATCAGGGCCAGAGGCGGTGAGAGATTAGGAGGGGGAGAGCTGCTGGAACAGGACCCAATTCCTTATTCTCTGAGGAAATGGAGAAGGGAAGGCATGGGAATGATCCTAAACCCAGTCCAGTACTAGGACTGTCCCAAGGATTTTCCCACCTATTATCTTATTCCATCTTCACAGAAAGGTCTGTGCTGCTAAATAGGGCAATTCTTTGAGCTAAACTTTTATCATTTAAAAAAAAATCCTCATCTGAGTGACTGTGTTTCCAGATTTAATACTGGAAAGTGGATTAGAAAGCCCACTGTGCAGTCAGGATGGTTTGGGCTTGAGGCCTGCCTCAGACCTATTAGCTGTGTGAAGATGGTTTGGAAAGTTATCCATCCTTTCAGGGCCCTAAGCAGCTAGCTCTAGACCAGAAGTTACTTCTCTGGAGAGAGCCTCCACGCTGGGAGTTTTACACACGGATGAAATGATTGGACCAAAAAAAAAAAAAAAAGCTTATTGTGATTGTTTCAAAAAAATGCTTTTGAAATGAATTATTGCTGCTCCAAGGATTCAGCTGAGCTGTCGTTGTTCTAATTTTACAGATCTGCACAAACTTTTACCTAGAGAGATCAAGTATTGGATGGAGGGGACACAATAAGTTATAACAGGTTAGACATTACCCTTTGTATTCTGTTATTCTACCCTAGGCCAGGCCAGTGATCATAACTGATTTTAGGGGGACCTTGAAGATTTTCATTGCTTTAAGGTCCATTAGAATGTAAGCTCCTTCAGGGCAGGAGCTCTTTCACTTTTGTTGTTGCTTCTTAGGTGCTTAGCACTTAGTAGTTAGATAATAAATGCTTGCTGGTTGATTGCTAAGTCTGCATTACTTCTTTTGAACCTCACCACGCTGTGAGGTAGGTATTACCCACATATTATTATCCCTATTTTGCAATAAGAAAACCAAGGCTAGAAATTACGGGACTTTCCCCTAGTCACACAGTCAGATTTAAACCCAAGGTCTCCCATACTTTCAAGTTCAGTTCCCTTCCCAGTACACAATCCTGCCTCCTGAAGGGGTGGGGCAGGTTCCCATAAGTCAGAGTTCTGGGGAACCTCCCAAAAGCTGGGAATCAGTGGGGAATGATTCCTTACTCTAAAGACACAGGAGTCCCTGATTACTCCAATCTGAAACTCTTTTCTCTAGACCCCAGGATAGGCCCTCCTTGACACCCTGAATCAGCAAGTATTTACTGTGTTTGCTAAGTGCCCCTAACTACGCCCTGTGGGGGAAGCTAAGAAAAATGTAAGTCGTGGTTTCTAATTTCGACCTTAGTCTAATTGGGAAGAAAAGTACAGAAAATGGCAGCCAATAAGACTACATGTAAGTTACAGAGGGGAAGGGGGAGGTGCTATAAGAGCTCACAGAAGGAGGGACAGCCTGGTACTGTAGGAAGAGCAGTGATTTGGATATCAAAGGAACAGGTAACATCATTTAAGATCCTTGAGCCTCAGTTTCCTCATCTGCAAAAGTAGAACTTTGGACCAGATGACCACTGAGGACCCTCAGGGCTCTGAATCTACAATCATGTGAACCAGGAGTGATCAGGGATGGTCAGACTCTTTCATGAAGGAGACTGAGGTTGGGTTAAGAAAGGAAGGAATTTGGAGAGAAGGAGGGAAGTCCCAAGTGGGTGAAAAGGGAGTATAGTGAGGATGAGTATAGAGAGGTGGGGCCACATTGTTCAGGGCCTTCTAAGTAATTTGTTGTCGTGGAACTATGAGAATTGCAAGGGACGGCAAGAGATAATTTTGTCCAACTCATTCATTTTAGAGATGAGAAAATGATCTACTGAGAGGTAAAATGACTGACAGAAGCAGGACCTTGCCCAAAGTTAATTGAAATAAGGTGGCCCCTTAAAGTGGGTCCTGGAATTTGTCTGTAGCAAGAGATGACTTGTCTCCTGGCCTGTGGCTGCAGAGAAGTAACCCAGCACCTGGCACAATGGGAACTAGTCATTCTCTTTTCCCCTCCAGTGCTGCCCAGGTTCCTGGGAATTGTAGTCCAGCAGCTAAACAAAGACTTCAGAAGATCAAATCTTGCTAGGCGTCAGCTGCCCCCTTATGGCAAGGGGTGATATATAGCCAACCTAGCTAGAGTTGAGACTTCAATTCAGTTTTACCGGTATTTATGAAGCATCTACTGAGTGCCCAGCACTTGGCTAGATGCTGAAGGGAATTCAGAGATCTATGTAACACGATCCTCAACCTCCAAGTTTGGGCAAACCTACAGTTTGGGCAGCTCACTCTTCAAGGTAGTATATGAATGTGTGCCAAAATGTGAGTGGTAGAATCAGTAAGTCCTGTAAAGAAATGGGGAAATTGGTGAGGTCTGATCAGGTAAAGCTTCTTAGAAGAGGTGTGTGCTGTGCACACTTTTTCTGCAACTTCCCACTTATTTCCCTCCTCTGGGGACAAATATAACAAATCTGACCCCTTTTTCACGTGGTAGACCTTCAGATACTGAAGAGAGCTATGATGTCTCCTCCAAATCTTCTCATTTCCTAGCTAAGCATCCTCAGCTGGCCTGCATGTGGCATAGTTCCTCTTACCATTTTGGTCCCTCTCTCCTGACCTCCCTCCTTTTTGATGCTGTCTTTTCTAAAGTATCATACCCAGACCTGATAAAGTACCCCAGATAGGGTCTGATCAAGGCTGTTGGGGCAGCTAGGTGGCACAGTAGATAGAGTGCTGGGCCTGAAGTCAAGAAGACCCATCTTCCTGAGTTCAAATCTGGCCTCAGACACTAGCTGTGTGACCCTGGGTAGGTCCCTTAACCCTGATTGCCTCAATTTCCTCATCTGTAAAATGAGCTGGAGAAAGAAATGGCAAACCATTCCAATATCTCTGCCAAGAAAACCTTAAATTGGGTCACAAAGAATCAGACATGACCTAAACAACTCAACAACAAAAAAGGCCAAGTACAAAAGGATTTCCTCCTCTATCATTTTGGACACATCGCTTCTGTTAATGCAGCACCAAATTTTATTATGTACTTACAAGATAGATAATAGATGAGCTGGTAGGGATTTGATTAGATTTTATGCAGTGCAAACCCTCGCCCCATTTTACAGATGAGGAAACTGAATTGTGGAGAAGTCACAGGTAGTGACAGAGGCATGATTTGATTTCGCTTCCTTTGACTCCAAAGCTTGCCACCTTTCCACAGCACCAGATTTCTTTGGCTTCCCTGGATTCCGAATTGGAAGGCCTGGATTCAGTTCTAAATTCTGTAGCTGACTCCACTTGACCATGGACAAAGCTCTTCCCCCATGAGGCTCAATGTCTTCATTTATAAAATAAGAAAAGTGAACTAAGTCAGGGATTTTTTTTTTTTTGGGTGAGGCAACCAGGGTAAGTGACACAGCTAGTGTCAAGTGTCTGAGGTCGGATTTGAACTCAGGTCCTCTTGACTCCAAGGCCAGAGCTCTATACCCTTCACCACCTAGCTGCCTCTAAGTCAGGGATTTTTAACCTGAACTCTGAACTTTTAAAAAATATTTTGATAATTCGTTCAATATCATTGGTTTCCTTTGTAATTCTGTGTTTTATTCATTTAAGTCCCTCTAGGTTTCATCGGCCTGACCGCCAAAGGGGCCTATGACACAAAAAATGATTAAGGACCCTTGGACCAAAGGATCTCTGGAGTCCCACACAACTCTCGAATTGATTTTGTGTGTGTGTGTGTGTGTGTGTGTGTGTGTGTGTGTGTGTGTGTGTATATCAGTAATCCTCCATTATGGCCATTATCTCAATTTTCATTCAGTTCTATGTCTTTACATTTTATCCACAAGGCTATCTTGACAAACTATAAAATGTTTTGTTGAAATTTAGTTATTCTATTTCTATGGCTCTCCTGATCTCCTTATTTGTGCAGTTAGATTGCACAAATGGATCTATGATCTCATCAGTTTGAGTGTCCCTCCAAAGCTGAAAATCACAGTGCAGTGCTTGCCTGCCTCTGTTAGTCCTCTCCAGGGCTTCCACCCAACCTGTTCCAGGCCTTTCTGTCTTCTAACATAGGAAGGATACCAGTTCCACACTTGAGCTCTCCATCTAGCATCCTTTGCCTTACCTATAGTGCTAGCCCATTTTTTTTCTTTTTCTTCCCCTATTTTTTTTTCAGTCATGGAGTTCCATCATGACATTTTTTACTCCTCTTCTTCAAAACTCTTCATTTGTTATCTATAACAGCTTGCTCAAACCCACAGGGTGTGGCCTCCATCGTCCTTTGTGATCATCATTTTCAATTTTTTTTTCCTTTTTGGTGAGGCGATCAGGGTTAAGTGACTTTCCCAGGTACACACGGCTAGTAAGTGTCAAGTGTCTGAGATCATATTTGAACTCAGGTCCTCCTGACTCCAAGGCTGGAGCTCTAGTCACTGTACCACTTAGCTGCCCCCAGTCATTTTCAATTTTTCAGAAACTGTTGTGTTCAATCTCTCATAGCCACAGAACAACACCACTGGAATACTGGGGTCATTAAAGGAACCTTGCAATTTCCTGAAGGTAATGCAGCCTACTCTCCCTCAGCTGTTTAATTCTAGGCCCGACTCCAGGGTCCATTTATGTTTTCTGTCCTGCATGAGTGTATGAACAGTGTGTACATATATGCATATATACTACATATAATAGCAACAAAATATGGATATGCATATATAGATATACACATGGTGGTGAGATATATACATACAATGATTATATATATGTTATATAGGTAAATTCACACACATTGTGATGAAAAGCTCCATCTAAACTGCACATTATAATCTGAGCAATAGACAATCTTTAATCACTTGATATTCCTGTGTGGATGGGGATGGTCAAGCCAGACTCTTCGGAGATCTCTACCAGGAGGCGCTGCAACATTCAAGGACATCAGTGCACAAAGTATCCACCAAACTACAGGGAATCTTCTTCAACCTGGACATCTTTGGTGAGCTACATTTTTCTGTTTTATTCTTCATGTAATGTTGATAATCAGGTCATTTAGTCATTACACATGACTATCTCTGTTGTTATATCTTTCAAGGAATCTTAATTGAATTTGATGTGTTAATGGGATTAGCCCCTTAGGTCCCTTAAGGTGGCATTTTACTCTACTTAAATCAGTGTTTTTATGGTCCACAAACAATTAATTACAATGGATGTTTTTATTATCTATATTTTTCAGTCAATTGTCTAATCAGGCTACTTTTCCCATCTTTGTTCTCTTTAGTGTTATTTCTCCCTCCTGTAGAAACAAATCTAGGACTGTGATGTTGGAATCCAAATAAGGTGGCTCCATTGGCCTTGATGGTGTTCGTTACAAAATGTTGTTATAGAAACCTTTGTGGGTCTTTTCCATTTTTCTTCTGTTTATTGCCCTTTCCATTTTAATCCTTAAACACTCTTGTGTTTAGTTGGATTAACTGGCTCTCTCACCAAGCTTTCTTTAAACTAGTGTTCCCCTCCACTGCTTTTCTCTGATTTATGGGGTGATAATGCTCATAACCATTCATCAAGTTTTGCAAACAAGTTTATATTGTAAACTGGTGTTGGCTTTGTTGTGGCCATCTCTCTCTCTCTCTCTCTCACTCCTTGGCGAATAAGCCAGGCATTTGCTCATTTAGGTACTTTTTAGAGTGTTCTGGCCTCATTATAGCAATTGATTTACAAGCAGCTAAACTTCTGTATAAAATCATTATATTGGTGTCTGATGACAAATTTATTGTTCATTGCTCATTTTTCATTACCAGCAGTTTTTAAAAATAGGTCAGGATTTTTAGATCTTTCAATTACATGCCATATCTTTTTCTCATTTTTCTTTCTTATAGTTTTCTACTAATTCTGATCATTGCTTTGAAAAGTTGGTAGTCTGACTTCAGATAACTGATTCAGGAAAGATTTCACATCAATACCAAGTCCTTTATTATCTGTTAAAATTTAATTAATTTCATTTTTTTTTAACTATGGGGTAGCTAGGTGGTACTGTGGATAGAACATTGGGCCCTGGAATCAGGAGGATCTGAGTTCAAATCCCACCTCAGATACTTACTAGCTATGTGACCCTGGGCAAGTCACTTAACCCCAATTGCCCCAAAAATAAATAAATGATGTTACTTGGTGCTCTCCATATGTAGTGCCTACCTACACTTTTTGTTGTGAAGTGTTCATGAAATAAAGGCGTGAGACTTCTATGTAGTCTACATGTGTCTTGGACTTCTCTCATTCCTTACTCTTGAACCATGTTTTCTAATATAAATCTCTCCATTCTCACCTATTCCTGTCATTGCATTGAAATCACCAAGTATTTTACTGATTTTAATTTGGAGGGTCTTGTTGAGTTATTATAAGATTTTTCTACTTTTTCATTCTCTGCAACCAAAGTTTACTGATAAGCTGAAGTTATCTTTGTACAAGAGTCTTTTTGCTGGTGCTTAACTGAAGGACTGAAATACAGGATGATTAAATATCCTGGAAAATGTTCAATTCAGTTGCCTTTGGGCATATGGTAAAACCAGCTCCCACAACTTCCTTTGTGTCCTCTCCAAGGGCTACCTATGAGCTATCCTTCCACTGAACTCAACTTCTTTTTTCTAGTTTTATTTCTAGCAAGAATGTCAAGATTGACATGATTTAGCTCTCCCAGCAGTCTGTCCACTCGCTGGGACAAGAATCTTATAGTTAGAATACCAGCCGCCAAGGTAAAGTTGATGGTCGGTCTAAAAAAGCTAGAGTCTTAGGACCCCCTCCTCTTCGGCCACTCTGCCACCATCACTTCGGAAGTAGAAGTGAGGGTAATTTTGTATTTTGTCCTTCAGTTCTCACTGGCACTGGCAGGTTGGCTCTCCAGAACTTGACTGATACCTCAGGGTCTAGGGGGGATGCCCTGCAGGTACCTGCTTTGAACACTGGAGCTAACAATCCCCATTGTTGTGTTTCCCCTTAACAGTTAGCCTGTAGACAAAATTAGCTCTTCAATCATCAGTCATTTATTTGTTCTCCCTCCCACCCCTCACCCTAGTGGAAAAAAACAAACAAACCAAAACCCTTGTAACAAATTCCCATATTGGCCACATGCTAAAATATGTATCTCATTCTGCCTATTATTCTATCACTTCTGTCATCAGGTGAGCAGCATTATTAATCAACAGTTCTCTATAATCATGATTGATCATTGCATTGATGAGAATTCTTAAGTTTTTCAAAATTGTTTGTCTTTACAATGTTGATGTTATAATATAAATTTTTTTTCCTGGTTCTACTCACTTCATTCTGCATCGATCTATATAAGTCTCCCCAGGTTTCCCTGAAACTCTCTTAATTAATTTCTTACAATCCAAGAGTATTCCTTTACATTCATATACCATAATTTGTTCAGCCATTTTCTCATCAATAGGTACCCCCTTAGTTTTTAGTTTTTGCCACCACAAAAAGAGCAGCTATAAATATTTTTGTGCTTACAGTATCTTTTCTTCTTTCTTTGATCTCTTTGGGATATATAGGTTTAGTAGTGTTTTTCAGAGGTCAAATGGTATGCATAGTTTGGTAACTTTGGGGGCTTTCCAGAATAGCCGGACCAATTCACAGTTTCCACACAACAGTGCATTAAAGCACCTGTTTGCCTTCCAACATTGACACACTTAACTCTTTAACAAAAGCTTTTACTAAGATGTCATAGTAAGGACAGGAACTAAAAAACATTCTTGCTCAAAAGCTGGGGTGCATCCCCCCTACTAATATACAGTGTGTCTATGGGGATGGGCACACCCTTCTAGTACAATGAAAGTGAGGTATGCCTGTAGGGAGCGTGTGTCCGAGACTCCCCCTCTCTACCTCTCAACCTGGGGTTTTCAGGGTTAGCTCACTCTTGAGTCTGTTCAGCTTTCCCCTCTGATGACTCCCTCCTAGAAGCCTCTTCTGAGTTCAAGTGACTGCCTCCAAAATTGAAGAGGGGCATGTGTGTCTCGGTTTTCTTATCTATAAAATAGGGACAATAATAGCACCTCCTTCACAAAGGTGAGAATCTAATGTGATAGTATATGTAAGGCATTTCACAAACCTTAAAACACTTGATAAATATTAACTATTATTATTATGATGATGATGGCACAAACAGTCAGAACTTGTAATTTACTGCATAGCCCTTGAAAATCCAGGGTCCCCTTCACATCAAAGTGAGGCACCACTATGGGATTTTGTGGAGCGACTAAAATCTAGGATAAATGAGGAGATGGTAGAATGAGTCGCCAGCTATTCTCAAGTCACCACCACTGGATGTCTTCTCCTGGTGTCTTCTCCTGACCCACTAGCTCTGCTGCTAGATGGGGAAAAGGGAGCAGAGAAAATCCTCCAGGTCAGCTCCATGCCAGGAGTGCCGGAGCAGGACTTTGTAAAGGACTACTCCATCCTGGCATGGCTTGCTCTTGGTGAATCTGTGATAGCTTACGATGATCAAGTGCTCACAAACCACCTTCTAACAAAACTTCTTTTTGAATTTTTTCAAGAATCAAAGCCGCCCTCTTCTTTTTGAAAACAGCTCTACCTTTGACCGTTTCCAGGCCTGGGACATCTCTTCCACTTTCTATGATTTTTTAAAGATCACTGAAAATGGCTCAGCAATTGTAATTGCCAGCTCTCTCAGCACCCAGTCACTCAGGCACTCTCAGTGACATCCAGTGGTGGTGACTTGAATACACTGAGAGCATCTGGGGACTCATTCTGCCGTCTCTTCGTTTATCCTAGATTTTAGTTGCTCCACAAACTGGTACCTCACTTTGATGTGAAAGGGACTCTGGATTTTCTTTCTTTCTTTTTTTTTTTCCTTAGGCAATTGGGGTTAAGTGACTTGCCCAGGGTCACACAGCTAGTTAAGTATCAAGTGTTTGGTCTGAGACCAGATTTGAACTCAGGTCCTCCTGACTTCAGGGCCAGTGCTCTATCCACTGCACCACCTAGCTGCCCCGGGACTCTGGATTTTCAAAGGCTATGCAGCAAACTGCAAGTTCTGTTTATGCCATAATAATAATAATAATAACCAATATTTATCTAGTGTTTTGAAGTTTATGAAATGTCTTACATATACTATCCATTAGATTCTCATCTTTGTGAAGGAGGTGCTATTATTTTCCCTACTTTACAGATAAGAAAACTGAGATTAAAAGGGTAAATGACTTGCCCAAAGTCATACAGTCAGTAAGTATTTGAGGCAAGATTCAAGTTCAGGTCTCCTTTACTCCCAACTTCAGCACTCTATTTACTGTATACCAGGCTGTCCACCATGTTGGAAAGCCTTCTAGTAGAGTCCCATTAATATACTATTTCTGCTTTGGGGGATCAGTCTAACTAAAGACGGATAGAAAGACTCATCACCAGCTCCTTTGGTTGAATCTTTGGCAATGCATGAAGCAAAGAGAAAGACAGAATGGCCAGAGTCCTGTGGGGGCACCCATCTCCTTCTGCAGTAATGGCATCAGAGTGGCAGCAAAGGGGGCAAGAAGTGTTAAGAATCACCGTCTTTAGATAGTCTGTAAACATGACCTTATAGATGGTATTGAAGCCTCATACCTATATATCAGGAATACTTTTGCTTTTTCTATTATTTTTAAATAAGTTTTATTAATTTTTTTTGCTTTTTTTACATCTCAGTCAATCCTGGATATTACTGTCCCCACCCCCAGTCAGCCTTCCTTTCTAATAAAGAAAATAGTTGAGCAAAATCAAAATATTCTCATAATACTATATGCAAAATTCTGTACTCATCCCTCATCCGTGTATTGTCAGGAGTACTTTATTCAAGAAAAGAGGGAGAGATTCCAGACATTGTTGTTTAGTCATTTCTGTCATGTCTGACTCTTCGTGACCCCATTTGGAGTTTTCTTGGCAGAGGTACTAGAATGGTTTGCCATTTCCTTCTCCAGCTCATTTGACAGATGAGGAAACTGAGGCAAACAG